AGAGCTTACTTGTTCTATGAATATATATAAGTTTGTGTAAGAAGACTACAGAATTATAGTTTTTTTTTTTCCCCATCCTATCCTTGTCTTTGCCTTTGTGCTTACTGTTTTTATTTATTTGATAAATTTGCTTAATTTTCTTTTAGTATTTCTTAGAACACGTAAAACACGGACTCAATACGATTCCTTACCGACACAGAACCTTAAAACTGGCCGTACGAACACCAACAAAAGTCTTCCATTTTTTCTTTTATCTTGTATATTTTAATTTGTTCGACTCTTAAAATCAATTTCCTGTATGTCTTTCTTTCTTTATTTTTACGTATATTTATTTATTTTTATTTGTTCATATATTTTGTGAAAACTTTTTCGGGAATTTCTTTTTCTACGTTTTACGATGTTTTAGAGTTTTTCTTCTTTTTCTTTTGCTTTTCGTATTTTTACGAGTCGTATGCGTTGAAATTCGGAGCAAAAGAAGCAACGGTGCTTTTTTTTTTCTCTACAGATGCGATAAAAATGCGCAGTAATTGAATCCAACCAAATTATGTAGAAAAAAAAACGTAACCGAAAACTGAGGAATTCAAGAAAGAAAGGAAGGAACATAAAGTAACTCCGAAAGATATTGCAATTTTAACACTTTCGCTGCTGTGGACGTATTTATACGTCGATCTGAAACATTGAATACCAACAATTTCGAACTTACTTATATGACATAAGAAATTTACATTACCTGCTGTTGAGCAATATATGTCTTTTCAAAATTATACGTCTTTACAAAAATCTATTGCTTGTATTTTACTTTGTATATATATATATATATGGGGGATATTTTATTTTAACTGTCCCTCGCTAATTTATTTACACGATTATTTCCCCTCCCCTCGTTACAAGTATATACACTTGTTTGTTATTTTAGTGTGTTCCCCCCCCCCACACACTTTTTTTTGGCTCTTCATTGTCGTTAATATTCTTTTCGTTGATCCAACGATTGTCTCCTGATGAGATGTTGGCTGAAAGGGCCCTAGAGACTTTTAAAATTAAAATCAATACATTCCTTTTTTTTAAAACTATATATATATATATATATATATATATATATATATATATATAGATAGAGAGAGAGAGAGAGAGAGAGAGAGAGAGAGAAAGATAATAGATAGATAGATAGATAGATAGATAGATAGATAGATAATATTAGTGGTAAATTTGTAGGTCTGAGGAATTGGATCATATTTACGATTCCAATGGAATAAATTATGACTATCGAATATTAGTGTTTAAGCCTTTTTATTATATTTTTATTATATATATATTTATATATTGTTGTGACCAAATAAATGGTTAAATAAATAACAAAACAAGTGTTACAGATATATCATATATTAAACAGTAAGTACAACAGATGAGTCTTACACAACTAGTGAGTGTGTGTCGGTTGACCCAGCGTTCAATCTATTCGACTATCCCCACAAGGCCTTCTCTCATACTAGTCTTATAGTAGACGAAAGAGACAACATAGACTCTTTAGACGGAGGACATTACATATATATATATATATATATATATATATATATATATATATAGTGTGTGTGTGTGTGTGTGTTTGTGTGTGTTTATTGACATAAAAATAAATCTCACGAAAGCTAATCAGAAGTGTCTTCAACAACAAAGATCTGAACGTAACAACAAAAATATATAGTCTATATTGTTGTCCTCAATTAAACTTTGGTTTCTAAACTTGATCTCTGTCTCGTCGTGAAGTCCATAAATTAGGACGCTTTCAACAGGAAAACCATCATTCAGTCTTGAACATCTAATGGAATTACTATGTGACTGACACCAAAGTTAAGGAAAGGGCCAAGAGCCAAAGTATAGAATCGCTGATCATTAAACACCATCTTCGATGGTCAGGACATGCAGTAAGAAGGGAAGAGCCAAGGTTTTCACATCAAGTCTTGTTCAGTGCCCTCACTTCAGGCAAAAGGTCATGGGGTTGCCCTCTTTGGAGATAGAAGAACCAACTCAAAACAACACTGAAATGGACTTGAGCCTAAATCGTTTGAAACAAACAGTACAAAGGGCGATGTTCCATCACTATCGGAAACAAAAACATCGCAGCCATCACAAGAGAAAAGAAAGATAAAATCGACCTCGTCATCTACCAAAATTCTTAGTCAATATTCTTAGAAACTTATTGGTTCTTCCATGCAAGAATTGATATACTTAGTCATCAAAAAAAGCTATCCGAAAAGAATCAATTAAATTCTTGTGTATAAGATACAGTTTTGTGATATCAACGAACACTCGTTGCCACTTTTGTGATGCTAACGAATACAGGTTATCACTTTCGTAATGCTCGTTGTAGTAGAGACTTTGTAATCGCAGATACAACTATATTACATCGTTAAGTAATACTAATGTCAAACGCATTCGAATAGCACTCGCATTAATAGTACTTGCTCGATAATACTCGCTCGAATACTAACAACCGTAGAGTGATCTGAATAGAGAAATAGTACAGTGAATAGAGTAGAGAATAGCGGTCCGTCAGTAATAGAGGATAGATTAGAAATAGCGATCCGAATAGTAATAGAGGATAGAGTGGAAATGGTGATCTGTATAGTATAGAGGATAGACTAGAAATAACGATCGTTTAGACGTCACACAAATATGTTCCTTGCGTTTGTGTTATAAAAAATGATTAACGCTTAATGCTATTTCCAAACCAACGGAAATATATAGAATCCTACACTAGGACCTTTTTCTGGTGTATTTTCTCGTATTGTATTTGAAAGTATTGTTTAACTAGTCTAGTGTACTTGATTAAAACCCAAATGCCGGTGCCTATGCCAAATCGCTATCAAAGAATTTATAGTCCTTTATTTCCTTGTTCGATTAGGTTGTTCGGACAATAATGGCCGTTTTTAGAATTAACTTTTATTCCTAAATTTATATCTTTAGACAGTATTTAAATCAGTCAAAATAGGAACCCTGGATTGATATACATTTCTAACATCAAGTTACAAGCTTATTTATGCCTCTTCTGATATAAATTATCTCATTAAATCGAGAAATTAAATTTGACTTTAACGGCCACTCTCCTAGATCTGTTGCATTAGTTCTCCACACATCTATGTTGTTCCTGATTTTCATCAACGACCTTCCTGGTGACATCTGTTCTCGACATCTATGCTTATGACACAACTATTTATTCCTGTCTTCATAGGTTTGATAATTATCTACACACAAAGAATGAAAGCACACGTGATACCTGAGCCGCCAAGCAGGGGAGGTAACACATTTTCGTTGGCTAGGGCTGTACTGCCACCCCTGGCGTCACCAGCAGCTTTTGTCACCGGACAGGGTATTCTTTTTGTATGCCTGTCAATCTCTTGTGATTTCTTTTTACAACTGCAGCTAAAATTTTCAACGTTGTGTCAAAATACACAACACGCTTGTTAGCGACCGTTATTAATTACGTAGAATGGAAGGTAAACAAATGTGTTTCAAGTCGAAAGTAGAATTGTGTCGCGAGCATGATTTTAATTAACTTTATTTATTTTGGATCTTGACCATATCCAACTCGATGCCTGTTGAGCTGCGGCCTGGAGACGATGTGAAGCACGCTTCAGGTTCCGGCCAGTGATGCCCACCTTCAAAAGGAAGCAAACGATTGACTGTCCAAGGAATCTAAAGCACCCGATCTCAATAGGTAATACCTGACATGCTCTATGCACTCAAGTCGTAGCTATTCGTAGTGCGTTTGATTTTGCTCTTTTAAATATGATGAAATTGGCAGCTGATCTGAAAAGGGACCCACAATCTGTTGTTAAAAGCGGATCTACATTCATGAAAGGAGCAACTATTGGTTTTTGTAACAGTAATTATTAAAGATTATCCTAAAGATGTAGTTATGAAACTGCTATGGGAATTAAAACAGATTTATGTTTATGTGGGATACTGGCGTCAGTCGGGGATCACGGTAGGGATGAAGGTGAATTTAAGCGTATTTATTTTTAGATAAACACACAGTGACTGAGAGAACTCGATTCGATTTACCGAAGAGTCTTGCATTATTAGCCGTAATAGTCACTGTTTACAAACCTACACTTCCTCCCCAGAGAGCGCAACCAAAATAAATTTTTCAAGACTATATATTACTGGATATTTTGTGGATGACATTATTTGAGTAGATGGTCCGTTTATTTTAAACATTATTTATTTCGTCTACCGGTCAGCGTACTTGAGAAAACATAATATAGATAACGCATCCTCCAGCAGGATTCGAACCAGCTCCCCATATTCCAGGAGTTACGACCGTCTGAATCGGCGTGCTTTTACCACTCGGCCATGAAGAACGTCACAATAACGTATGCATCTATTTTGCCTTTAAATCTAAACGAGTAAGTGTTCTTTAAAAGCAAAATTGAACCAGGCTCTATTGTGAAGGTCTGCATAGCCGAGCGGTAAAAAGCACGCCGGTTTCAGACATTGTCTTTATTAAATTTTAAGTACGCCGGCAAGCTGGTAGACAAAATAAATGTTTAAAATACGGGTATCAATAAATATCAGTAATATATAAAATTAATAGTATATATATATATATATATATATATATATATATATATATATATATATATATATATTCAATCAAAAAGTGGAGCGTCTACTGAAATACGGGTATCCACTAAAATAACGTTTGAAGTAATAAATATATGTCGGATTGAAAAATAAATCTATATATATATATATATATATATATATATATATATATATATATATATATATATATATATATATGTGTGTGTTTGCCTGTGTATATTTGTTTATGAGTGTGTGCGTATGTATATATAAGCGAGTGTGTGCGTGTGTGTGTATATGTGTGTATGCAGATAGATAGATATATGTGTGTGTTTAAAAAAAAAGAAGAAATAATAAACTGTGAAGAATCATTATGAAGAAAAAGAGAAGAAAATGATAAAAGAATAAAGGGAATCAATTCAAATGAATGAATGAATGAATGAATGAATGAATGAAGGAAGGAAGGAAGGAAGGAAGGAAATATGTAAGGTAAAACGAGAAAGAAAGAAGAAACGAAAGAAGGAAAAGACGTAAAGAGAAAAGAATAAAAAATAAAGAAAGACAAAAAGATCAAATGAATAAATGAATGAATGAATAAAAAGACGTAACTGAAGAGAAAACAGATGAAAGGAAGAAACGCAAAAGCAAAGAAGGAAGCAGAAAACGGCAAAAAATAAAAGAAAGTTAAAAGGCTAAAGCAATGAAAGTTAAAAAAATATAAACAAAAAATACAAAGAATGAATGAAAAAAATTAAAAAGAAAAACTAAAAAATAAGAACGAAAGAAGAAACAACTACAATGGAAAGAAAGAAAGAAAGAAAGGTAGAGAGATAGATATGAACAGAATGAGATAGATAGATAGATAGATAGATGAAGAGACTGTGATAGATAGACAGATAGATAAATAGATAGATAGATGGATAGATAGATGAAGAGACTGAGATAGATAGATAGATAGATAGATAGATAGATAGATAGATAGATAGATAGATAGATGAAGAGACTGTGATAGATAGATAGATAGATAGATAGATAGATAGATAGATAGATAGATAGATGAAGAGACTGAGATAGATAGATAGTTAGATAGATGAAGAGACTGATAGATAGATAGATAGATAGATAGATAGATAGATGAATAGATGAAGAGACTGAGAGATAGATAGATAGATAGATAGATAGATAGATAGATAGATGAAGAGACTGAGATAGATAGATAGTTAGATAGATAGATAGATAGATAGATAGATAGATAGATGAAGAGATGAGATAGATAGATAGATAGATAGATAGATAGATAGATAGATAGATAGATAATGGACAGCCAGAGAGAAACAGAGAGTAACAGAGAGATATGGACAATCTCTCTCTCTCTCTCTCTCTCTCTTTCACACACAAACACAGAGAGAGAGAGAGAGAGAGATGGAGAGAGTATGACAAACATAGTAGTCATGAACTATAAGAGATAGATTGAAATAGAATGAGATAGGTAGATAGATAGATTGATGAAGAGACTGAGATAGATAGATAGATAGATAGATAGATAAAAGACATTAAAATAATGGAAGATCAGGAAATATAGAAAATAATGCGGAGAATGAATAAAGAAATGAAAAAAAAGACAAAAAAGAGAGAAAGAAAGAAAGAAAAACAAATAAAATGGAAAGAAAGAAAAAAAACACAAGACAATAGTAAGAGACAGAAAGTCAAAGAAAGAAAGAAATACGTGAAGTACGTAAAAGAATGGAAAACATTTGTGATAAGCGAAATACCAAGACGAAAGAATTGATAAACTGGCCAAACGTCAACGCAGATTCAATGGTATTCATGGAATATTAAAACAGGTGATTTCAGCCACAGTTTGCAACCGACCACGCAGCTTCCTACAAGTATTTTATTCTATTTCTCTGAAATTTTTTTTTTTTTTTTTTTTTTTTGTTCTTCATCCTTCTTTGGAGTGAATGTTCTTCATTCCCCACCATTTTTTTATCAACTAATCGAAAGCATCAACAACCTGTCAAAAGAAATGAAAAATCTCATACAATTCGTGGGATTATTTATTTTTTTTCTTACCATTAAGAATCCTTGTTATCAGATGAATAAAAGGGTTTTTTTTCACGATTTCCATTGTTTCTAGCCTTTTATTCCTTTAACAAGTTTAAACTGGAGAGGGTGTTTTTTAAGTAAATTTCAGTATTTTCCACAGACGACAATACTCGACCTAATGCAGTGGTCAACATGAAAGTTTTTTTTTTTTTCAAATTCAGAGATATTATGTTTGAAATAATTATAGACTATTAACTGTATTTTATAGATTTATTGTTAATGTTAATATCAGTCGTTTCCTTATAAAGAAACATTCAGAATTTCTTCAACGACCAACCAGTTTCTACTGTATGTTGAAATTTATAAAAATTTTCTCTGAAATCATTTATTCAGGAAAATAGGTCTCTCATGTTTAATTTCCATTATTGATGGAGGACTCGATCCTTACCTTTTATCTGAAATAGTGTGGGTATATCAACGTATTGATTATGTCCTTATTTTTTCCGCGATTGCTATCCATTTTAGTGGCTGCTGTTGTTAAAAGTTATTTATTTGTTATCCTGTAGCTTCAACCCGCGAAGTTGAAAGAAGGGAGGTCCTAAGACAGTCGTACGAAACTACCTCAAGCGCAGCCTATTCTATGTTAAGTTTCCTTATCTCCTACACTAAATTTGTCATAGCTGATTCATACACCGAGCTAATTAAGGTGTTTGGTATTTACTGATAATATATCCTGAATTTTGACGATGTTTGTAGAAGGATGATGATCGCTGAGACATACACGCTTCATTCGCTCAAAGACTTTTTTTACTCATCCATCTGAAATAGGCGGTCGTATACATCCGACAGTTTAAATATTTCAAAGAAAGGGAAAACTTTTTAAAAAATTAATTGATTGTACAATCTCTGTCTCAATTTGGAGCTTACATAGTAAAAATAATATCAACAGTTTCCTTATAAGGAAACATTTGTCATTCATTGACCGATTAGCCAGTTCTACTTTCGGTTGAAATTAATAAAATCTATTAGAAGGATCTTTCAGGAAGAAAATAGATTTCTCAAGTCCAATTAATGGTTGAGTGTGCAATCGCTGTGTCAATTTGGAGCTTACATAGTGTTATGGTCCGGTTCCTTGTACCACGGTGATAGTCCAATGTAGAACCAATAAAGAAGAACTCAAACACGGATATGGAATAACACAGATATATTACAAACATGAATATATACAGAAAAGTACAAAGTGTTAATACGAACAATCAGGTTGAGTAATAATTGTCTGAACGTGACTCTGTTTCGGACTGCCTCGGACTCGACTGACTGACTCGCTCGCTCTGACTGACTGACAGACTCCTGACGGATTTCACTCCAGACTTCAGACTGAAAGGTATTTAGTCACCACAAGGGTATCATGTGGCTCAAGGCCGGTTTAACGTGGGATCTCCGAGCCCGTGGGCTCGGCCAAAAATATGCCCTTTGAACCCGGGTTCAGGATCGGTTTACCTCCCCGGTTGGGACTCGGCCCTTCGGCGTAGCCTCGTTCGGGTTCCTCCCCGCCCGAAGGCAGAGAGTTCAACCGATCAGCCGGTCAGCCGGTCGCCCGACTTCAGACTGAACCGTATTTAGTCACCCCACCCACAAGGGCATCATGTGGCACGAGGCCGGTTTAACGTGGGATCTCCGATCAGACGGTCGTCCGACTTCGGGCTGAACTCTCTGCTTCCTCTTGAGGCGCAGTATTTATTACGTATGGAATAGTCCATTATGTTATTATGGGTAAGGTCCCATAACATATAGTAAATATAATATCAACAGTTTCCTTATAAGGAAACATTTGTCCTTCATTGACCGAGTAGCCAGTTCTACTTTCGGTTTTAGTGTGAAAATTATGAAGTAATATCGAAAAACATAAAAGATATAAATATAATATCGAAAAACATTTCGAAATGAAACAAGATTTAAAAGTAATTATAAAATATTTTTATAATATAATAATAATAATATAATAATAATAATGAGAGAAATAACGGTGAAGTCATAGTGATGAATTGGCAATATTAGATCAGTTAAAAACCAATTAACCATATATATTCTTGTATATATGTACATATAAACACACACACACATACAAATACCTATACACCAACACACACACACATATATATTTATATATACATGTATACATACATATACACATAGGGAAGAGGTTATAGTAGTTCCAACAAGAGAAAAAATGTGTATATTAAAAAGAAGAGAGAAACAGCAAACGTATAATGTAGTTTTTTTTTTTTTTAAATATTATGCATTTATTATCAAAAATAGAAAGTCGCATATCGAGAATATTTAAAACATAAGAAAAAATTAATTATTTTTAATAATATGTGGAAATCTCCACGCTTTGCCTGATGAAGGTTGCGAGACCGGAAACACGTGTAGCAAAATTTTGGAAAATAACGCATAATATTTAAAAAAATAAATAAATCCACATTACAACCAAAAGCGTTTGCGGTTTCTCTCTTCTTTTATATATATGGAATCATATTTTTAAATAAATAATTATATTTATGCTCTACTTTTGTATCGAGCACTATTTTTTTTAAATAATAACTAAAATACTAAGGGACTTTGGATTATTTACCTAACCAGTTCCTTCCTATTTTCTATATATTTTCACATATTATATATATATATATATATGTATAGATAGATAGATAGATAGATAGATAGATAGATAGATAGATAGATAGATGCCTGTGTGTGTGTGTTTATAATCAATATTTTTTCAGTCAAAGTATTACATACATGTTCGTATATTTTCATTTAGTTATTTTTCATTTGTTTACGTACTTTCTTTTATTTACTTATTTTATTTACTTATTTTCTTTTTTTGGGGGGTTGGGGGGGTTGTTTTTTTTGGCTTTTGTTTGTTTTTGTTGTTTTCTTCTAATTTTACTAAACTCTTTACACCTAAGGGACTTTCAGAGTTCGTTCATTTTCATTTTTCTCTTCTTTCTTTCTTCTTTCCTTCAACTCAGCTTTCTTTATCTCATTCGTCAATGAAATCTGTTCTTCATTTTTTCAGTCTACCTCCTTGATAAATTAATCTTCTTTTTTCTTTTTTTCTTTTGCGCTAGTTTTATTCATCTATCCATCCATCACTTTCTTCCATCCATCTTCGGCCTATCTTCCTTGTCCCTCCGGGTAAAATAAGGATGGGTCTCCGGAGACACGTCCTTCTTCCATTGGTCAATACGAAACCACGTGTATACTGTATCGGTTGGATGCACCTCCCACATCTTATCACTCATTGCTTGACACCTACCACACACATACACACACACACACACACACACAACAAAAAAAAAAAGAAAGAAAGAAAAGAAAAGAAAAAAATAACTTTCTGTTCTCCAGTGAAGTAAGAGTTCGTATTGAGGTGTCAGACGACCTGGACAAATTACTTGGAAGGACGCTGTTCAAATGATCTTATGTGATAATAATGATGCAATTACAGTCATTTATTCCGTATAATAGTTTGATACTAACACCCCAGGAAAAGGCCGAAACTCTCAGAGGAAAGCTAGCTCTTTTTCTTATTGCTTGGGAAACATACTGAAGTCTGTCTTCTACGTGGGTATCGTAGATTTCTGCTATTACGTTTACTCATAGATTTAAGACCACGATATCTTTTTGGGAATCTTCTTCTATGTGCCGTGTCCATTCAGGATGTTGGCGATAATGGCTCTCCACATTTTCCTATCCCTCGTAGCTCGTAATAAATTTTGTCTCTTGCCATCTCTCCGGAAACCTGCTCCGCCATCTATTTACTGAAATTCGCCAAGTAAACTATTTTGTTGCTTTCTTCTGTCTCCCTTACCTTCAATCTGTCCTGTGAGCATCAAATTTTCCAAGCCTTCTTTCCTCATTGTTTGCCCCAGAAATTTCAGTATCTGTTCCTGTTAAGTTTAAGTGTTCTTTTACCTCATTTTTTTTCTAGAGTTTCGTCGTTGCACACATGTTCGGTCTATGGTATTCTCAGCATCCTTCTGTAGAACCACATTTCTCTTGCTTTAAGTCTCTTCTTCACCTATGAGTAGACTGTCCTACATTCATTGCCATGCAGGAGAACTTCAGTATTCTTGTCGTTATTACTAAGGATATTTTCTGTTTCCGAATACATTGCTTAGCTTTTGGAAGGCATTATTCGCTATCCCAACGCGTCTACGTGCTACCGTGTCGCTAAGCAAATATCTAAATAATTGCGTTTGTTTTATTTTGGTATCTCCGATTTGTCATATGCATGTTGGGCTGTTCCTTTTGATAACAACGCTGCATTCAGTCTAGTAAAAAGTGAAACTATAATACAATGTATCTGTCAGATTCAGACATTGAAACCATTCTAGCAAAGATACAACTTAGGTGGACTGGTCATGTTGTGAGAATGGATGAGTATGGGCTTCCAAGTAAAGGTGGACAACCACCAAACTCCAAACTCCAAACCTTCAGTTGGACGTCTACTCTTATGCTATAAAGACAAATTTAAAGACAACTTGAAAAATCTCAACTTTGATCTGAAAACCTGGGAATCCCAAGCATCAAAACGAAAGGAGTGGCATAAGACGTTTCATTCAGTTAAAGGGTTTTGAAGACAGTAGACTGAAGCACCGTGATCAGCTTCGTCAAGCTCTGAAGCAGAGATGACATCAAAATCCTGCTTTAACAAATTTCATCTGTCAGTGTGATTTTGTTGGCCGCAGCAAGGCTGGGCGAGTATCACACTTAAGAAAGCACAAATGAATATGTCTTTCCCTTACTTGATGTTCTCCACAATAGCCCCTGCTAGCGTGCATACGTGCAAAACGAAAGGCACCATCTAATTCTGACCCTCATTTATAGTTCACGATAGGAGAGTTGACTATATATATATATATATATATATATATATATATATATATATAGATATATATATATATATATATATATATATATATATAAAGACTGCTTTCGTTAAATAATTTAGACATGTTCTGTCTACTTATTCTTATTCTCGATAGGATCCTTTCATATTCAAGGATATGTGCGGTTATTAAAAACGAGAGGAAAACACCGTGTATTTATTCCGAGTACTTTCGACATAGCATATTGTCATCATCTGGGTATTGTTAAATATCGAGTAAGTATTTAGTGTTCATGGTTGTGAAGGACAAAAATTGTTGTGGTCATCCGAATATTACCATATTCGTGTGCCATGGCTTGGGTAACAGACACCGTAAAGAGGTAACTAAATATGCCCTGGAACTATTAATGATAGACGCTAATATTTAAAGACTATGTATTGTACATATATATATATATATATATATATATATATATATATATATATGTGTGTGTGTGTGTGTGTGTGTGTGTATATATATATATATATATATATATATATATATATATATATATACACACACACACACACACACATATATATATGTGTGTGTGTGTGTGTATATATATATATATATATATATATATATATATATATATATATACACACACACACACACACACACACACACATATTATATATATATATATATATATATATATATATATATATATAAGAACCCACTGAGTCCTGGATGAGACAGGACAACATGCGAACCTCCTCAAACTTTTTTCTAACAACCTGCCCTGACAAATGCTCAGAAAATGTTCTAGCCTCCATTGGCAGATCAGGTCATTGCTAATCAGTGTGTGTGTATTGTATATATATATATATATATATATATATATATATATATATATATATATATATATATATAAGAACCCACTCGAGTCCTGGATGAGACAGGACAACATGCGAACCTCCTCAAACTTTTTCTAACAACCTGCCCTGACAAATGCTCAGAAAATGTTCTAGCCTCCATTGGCAGATCAGGTCATTGCTAATCAGTGTCCAGATTGACTCCAAATCAATAACATCTCCTGATAGATCTGCTTTTCGCTATGCGTAGGAAGACTGGGACAACTTTCGATCCTACATAGCGGAAGCTCCTCTCCCAAACATGCTGCTCACAAAACCTCTGCCCTTATCTCCGAATGGATCCTTTCTGGAACAGAGTTATTTGTATACCCCCCCCCACACACACAAAAAAAAATTCCAGCCTTGATTCACTCCTGAATGCGCTGAAGACATAGCTTACTGGAACCACTACTTTAAAATCTATCACAAAGGGCGGGGTAATCTGACCCTTACTTCCTTCAGAACATGCTTCTAAAATCAAACTGTTTACATTGCATCACCGCTGAACTACCGCCAGTCACGATGGACAGATGTTCCAGCATGGAGGCCCGGTACCTCGAAAAGATATTGGGCCTGAAACTCAAACCCGACCTCAAGTGGAATTTCTATATACGCTCCATTGCTAAAGATGGTCGTCTCCCTGTACCGCTCCAGTAAGTACCTATATCCTTTATAAGAGCCAGATCAGGCTCTGTTGCCATATTTGGGCCGGAACTGTCCAGACCTCACTTTCCAGTCTTGATAGAGTTCAAAAGCGCCTTGTGGGTGACGAATTATTTTCCGCACTCCAACCTCTCTCTCACAGGTGGAATGTGGCTCTCTCGCTACTACCAGGGGAAAGTGCTCGGACGAACTGCATCTTCACGTTCCACAGGGTCTGATTTTCAAGGCTAAGACCCGCCATGCCACTTACATTGTAATAAACCACCCACATTTGCTCCGTATTCCATAGGTGAGAAGTAAGTTCCACTCAGACAGCTTCTTCCTGCGAACCACTGCCTTGTGGAACAGAGGATGTTTCCCAGAACATGGCAATCTTAACCTGTTCAAGACTAGAGTCAACTTTTATCTTCCCCTCCTGTCAAAATAAAATAATTAATATCGTAACTTTGAGTATCCCAGCGCCCTGTAAAAGATAAATGTGTGTGTGTTTGTGTGTATTTATTTACAGTGAGGTCCATCTTGTACAAGGCGCTGTCGCTATTTTACGATACTGAGTACTTTATTTTGACAGGAGGGGAAGATAACGGTTGACTCTTGTCTTGAACAGATTAAGAAAAAAACTAGAAGCTACTTAAAAAAGACAGATGAAATTTCTTTGACACATAAAAAAAAATGATTGACTCATTTTTAGGGCTTATCGACTCTTTGCAGGTTATTTAAAGCCAGAAAATATTTTTAGATTATAATAATTATATTTTTAGATAATACTGGTCTAGTGATATGAGTCTTACTAATTAACCCATAGCTTGGAGAAAAGGAGGCGGATTCACACCGTTCACAAGGGTATTTGTATTTTGTAAGTGAATATAACGAACCCAACTGGAATTGGAACTCCGCACTCCGATTCGCAATTATTATTCATTATAGTTTACACTAACCTCACAGCGAAGCTAACATAGCCTGGTATTATTCCCAAGCGGTCATCCATCTAGGTACTGACCAAGTTCGATATTGCTTAACTTCTTTGATCGTGTAGGAACTGGTATAATGAGGAAAGAAGGATTGAGATTTTAACACTGACAAGACATATTGAAGGCATGACAAACAGTGGGAAGCCCCGAATGATGTTCTCAACGGAATGGATGACAAAACAATGATAAAACTGAAAAGTTACTTCCAACAAAAAAAAAAGTGGAAGTTGTGGAGACCCATAATGGCCCATGTTCTGAAAGGATATGGCATATGAAAGTGGTAATTTTGTGAATTTAAGTCTTGTGATTGTAGCAAATATTATATATGAGAAGAGGGGGGACTAAAAGAAAAACTAAAAGATTTTCACGACAGAATCCATTTTACACATCTACCG